ACTGGCATTTATAAGCTTCTAATTTGTCCTTTCTGTTTGAACTGAGGGCTCTCTGCAGCAGAAGAAAGAGCAAAATCAAAGGAGAGAATAAAAGAGTGGGTAATATTAAATTAAATTAGAACCAAATGAGGCAAGTGGCAGACTGTCCAAAACCACTTTACACCCAAGCCCTCTGGGCATTGCCAGTCTTTTTCCAGTAAGAAATTAGTGATTTCTCTCTGTTCTTTTTATAATTCTTTGTGCACAGTTCATAAGGATTAACACTACACACCCAATCCAACACAGTGTTAAGTATTACAATGTGTGTCTGCTCATTTATATGAGTGAGTGTGAATATTAAGAAGAAAATCAGACATGCAGGCTCGAGTTTCTGCCATTTTGTGAGCGTGCGCCTGTGTTAATGCAATGACTGAGGGTTGGTCTCTGTCCCGACTTCAAAGTTAAGACGTCATCCTCGGAGGGCTGTCAGCATGGTGTTATCCTTGAAGACAGTTTGGCACCAGGCAGAGCAGAGGGCCTCAGGGAACAGAGAGGATTACAGTGCTCCAATGCTTTCTGTACACAATGTAGTGAAATAGTTGCTGATTGGGGACTGAAAACTCTTACATTCTGCATTTTTACTCCTAAAGGGAGTCTGGCTGAACACCAAAGCAGTATGGCAAAATGCTTCCTCAGCAGGAATACCGTGTTTTTCTTATTAAAAAGTATGAACTATTTTGATGCGTAGTAAAAGGTTTCAGTTAATTTTCATTACAATAATATCAATAAATAAATATTTATTTTTAAGTTATCTTGGTAGGGCTGCATGGTGGAGCAGTGGGTAGTGCTGTTGCCTTGCAGCGAGAAAGGTCTGGGTGCGATTTGTGGCCTTGGGTCTTACTCAAGAGTTTTGTATCGTGCTTTGTATCTTACTCTCTGGGTACTCCGGCTTCCTCCCACAGTCCAAAAACATGACTGTTAGGCCAATTGGCTTCTTTAAATTGTCCTTACGTAGGAGTGTGTGTGTGCATGGTTGTGTCTTTGTGTGTCTCTGTCTTGCCCTGCGACAGACTGGTCACATGTCCAGGGTGTACCCCGCCTCTCACCCATAGAATGCCGGAGTTAGGCAGTGGCCTCACCACAAACCAGACAAGTACTAAGCAAGAGAAAATTGATGGATGGATAGTTATCTGTGTTAAAAACAGAGCCAGTGAACCTAAAATGAAGTGTTTGCAGCACTTCCGATCTCCCACTTTGGTTCCTTAGTTGCAGAGTGGGAAACGGTTGGAAGTCTCTTCCCAGTTCTGGTTCTCTCTTGCACTGATTTTCCGTTACTCCTGCCTGAGCTCCATAACACTTTCACCTACGCTATGCTGTACGGGTGATTCATCCCCAAATGTGGAACAGCAGAGACCCGACCTGGGTATAGGTGGAAGTATCGCTGAAAGAGTCCGTCATATAGACATTCTCTCTGGAGGAGGTGGTGGTATTCCCCATATTGGTTCCATCGCTGCGAGTCTGGTTAACCCCGGGATGCTGACAGCTTTTTTCAGCTTTCAAAAGTAAAAACAACACTTCCAGTGGCTTAGTAAACACATGTCTGCCATTTTGAGGTGAAACCAATAACTAGTAGACTCAATGACATAGGAGACACATCCAAAATGAGTTACATTTAACCATCTATTTTAAGTCATGCTTTATCCCAACTGAGGTCGCAAGGGGTGCTGGTGCCTATCTCCAGCAACGGGCGAGAGGCATGGTACACCCTGGACAGGTTGCCAGTCTATTGCAGGTCAACACAGAGAGAAACAGGACAAACAAACAAACACTCACACCTAAGAAGAATTTGGAGAAACCAGCAGATAACCCACTTATTAGCAGGGAGAACTCCAAGCAGAGACACCCCAGGCTGGGAATCGGACCTTCTTGCTGCAAGGCAGCAGTGCTACCCACTGCCCACTGAGTAGCCCTGCATTCAACTGACTGCGGAAGCTAAATTACAGTGAATCAACTGTCACGTTTAGGACAACAGTTTGAGATTATTTATAAGGCAATATATGTACTCAGCAACAATAATCAAGTAAGCTTTGGTGGTGGTTTTTACCACTCCCACCCATCCAAACTCTTAAAAGTCTTAAAAAATCACAACAGACATAGACAGAGAGAGGTGGATATAGATATACATATGTAGAGCAGAAGTTGGTTGGTATTTTCAATGCAAGCAAAAGCATGTTGGACAACAGCTTGATGGTAAGATGAGACAAACATTCAAGTATTTGGGCATCATAAAATATTTTTGAGAAGAGTTGAGGTGATTAGAAAAATATTGCAACAGCTGTCAAGTATGATGGAGGATGTGTCACACTAAGTATCAGTTTTACCTCCAGCACAGTCCATTTTACTCCATTCAACATGTATATGTGCATACTCCTGCAACGTCTAAAATGAGGATCAAGGACAACACAAAATAAACTCGTCCACGTAAAGGGCAAGAGACAGGGAACACCCTGGACATGTTGTCTAACCATCACAGGGCAACAAAGAGACTTCGAACCAACAGCCATTCAAACAAACACCTCAAGGAAAGGTTAGGGAGAGGTTGGAGAGAACCCACACATGCACTGATAGAACATGCAAATGGCAAACACGGTTTTAAGCCTCAACTTAATGGCCTTAAGGCAACAGTGCTACCAATTTTTCACTGTGCAGTTCCTCAAAATCAATAAGATGCCAATGTGTGTAAACTTTGACCAGCATTATAGCTCTGTCACTTCCATTTAACGCAATCAGCAATGGAAATATAAACTTGACCAAGAAAAATAATGTTGTAGGCTTTCTGGTGAGAATAAAGAAAATAAAAGATCTGGCTTCCAACTGTAGAGCGCCTTAATCTTTACTTGGTAACACAGCATAGAAATAATATAGCTTTGACAATTCTTTGATATTTTTACATAATGAAAAGATTATTGACAATTAAACAGATTAAACTGCTTAGAGAAACAGCAGGAAGCTAAAACAGTGTAAGAATTCTGATTATTAAACTCTGAAAGACTGTTTTAATAGATGCATTGAATGCACATGTTTTCTCTATGACTGTGCGATGACTGAATTCCAGAGGAGACTCTCTGTTCTGCTGAAGAATTGGACCAGCCTCCTTTCACCTTCAAGGAGAGTGACTCAAACATTAACCTCGACTCTTTCGTGCTGAGATCTCCTTTTTTCGCTGCGTCACACAGAAAGAGTCATGCTCCCGTAACAGTGTCTCGGCACGAGGAGAAAGTTGGAAACCAGCTGTATCTGAACATTCCCTTATCCTTTTCTTTAAACAAGCATGTCCAATCTACCCACAGTGTTCCATTAAAACCAGACCACATCAATCAGGGCCCGGACTTTAAAGGCCAGGTCCCCTCTCCTGCGGCACGGGAGGAAAACATGGAGCTGTTATAGTAAAGGACCTCACACTGCAGGCTCACACCTCAGCTTTGCACTACATTTCTGCTGCTGTACCACACATCACAGTGTCACGGTGAGACCACACAGTTTGTCTCATAAGTTCAACAAATGATCTTGTAAGACCTAACAGCAGACCCTTACATAGGTTGACTGAGCCCCAGAGAGTCCCCCACCTGTGGCTCCATAAACCGCAAAGTAACTCCACTGAACAGCTACTGTAGTCCCTTACAGTGCTGTTAAGAAAAGAAATCATACAGTGTGACTTGAAAAATCATGTGCAAATGAAGCATCAGATTCCTCTAAACCAAGACTTATGTTCCCAATAATAAGAGAAGAATAAAAGAAAAGCCAAGAATACATAGCAGGAAGTTCGTGGAGGATGCCAGATGGACGAACAGCAGGATGAATGGGGAGATAAACGAGCGGAGGCCCAGCAACAAAAGGGGGGAGCAAGAAGGATTCCCGTGGGTGGTGATTGGGAGGCAGCCTTGCAATGGAAAGCTTTCAAACTCCTTTCATCGGCTGCCTGACGACGGGAACTTTACAAGAGCAAGATGAGCTGGCGCCGCCAGAGCAACTTGGCGCTCCTCAACAACACCAAGATGCTGAGGCAGAAAGGGACTCTATCATCACTCTGCACATTCCCTGCCCATGACCCAAAAACACTGGGCAGCATTAAGCATCAACCAGAGCCATGATCTCATAAACAGACGCATCACAACAAGTCTCAAGTTCAGCTTGGAACCAGTTTCTCCTAATGACTGTTATGGCCTTGATATCCACTGCTATAATTTAAATTGGAAACAAATCCTCTCATCCTTTTACAGTTTGGAAAACCTGAAGTCCTGAACACGTGCTGAATATGAGTTCAAGCAATAGCTAATCACTTTGTTTCATTTCATTTTCAACAATATGGTCCAGTTTTAATATATTAGAATAGAATCAAATTAAATACATGAATAAATTATTTTAATTATAAAAGAAAATAAAAGATCACAGATTAACCCGGCATCCCAATGCCTGGAGGAAGAGTTAAGACACACATAATCTAAGTTGCTTGCGGTTTAGTATGAAGGTCGACAGTCAGTAATGAATTGAGGTGCCATGTGATCTCCTGCTGTTGATCCATGAAGTCTGAATCCGGTGAAGCTATCTATCACTAGCACTTCCTGTTCTGTTGAAAAGCTTGATGCTGATTTATCTTCCAGGAGTACTTAGTACTGTTCCACACTATCCCAGACACCAATATCTGCTTTTATCACCACGGTATCAACATCATACTGATTGACCAAGACAGAGCACATTGCATTGATGCAATGATTCATGCAGATGGAGGCGAGATTGGTGTAGACAGTGCATACTAAAAAGAACGTTATTGTATAGAAATTTTGATTTTAGGGCTTAACCGGTCATAATGGCCAGAATTAAACATTCAAAAAATTTAAATAAAAAAAACTCTAAATTAACTTTTCTATTATATGGAGCTGTAAATGAGCAACAGTATCCGCTGTTTAACTTTTCTGTTAGAAAATATAAAGACACTGCAAGATGTCCTATTTATTCCTTACCAGTCGACACTCAGAGATCTTCTTCTGTAAGACGATGGTCTGTCTGAGGAAGGCTTCTCTGCTTTTGCTGCTCGCTCTTTCAGGGAGAGGCGATGAGTAAATTTGGAGATCCCAGACTCTGACCTGAACAGAGCAATAATAAAAGATGACATTAAGACCTAACAGACTGATTTATAAAATAAAATAAGATAAAAAAAAAAGCGAGAAACAATGGGTTTTGTCAGAAAAGTAACCTCCTAAATCAATCTACTTTTACACACATTCTATAAAAGCAAATGATCATTTATGGAAATATTTGTATTGCAGAAAATAAACATATGAATTTTCAATCAAAAAGTGAGATGGATAAGCAGTGGATTCATCCTCTAAGCTGTATGGTACTTATTAACACCTCTGATAAAGGCATGGGAAGAAAAGGAGCTTAATTTTTTGAAACGCAAATGCATAACACATTTCTTACCTGAAATGCACTTTTAACTATAAATCCCAGATTTATTATCTTCCTGTATGAATAGAATATTATATATGAAAACATAAATGCAAAATTAGATATTTGTTTTACATTTTGCAGATTTTTTTTTTTATAAATTCTCTTCTTACAGTATCTAACATCTTAAAGATCTGTGACCTTTACCACCTTGGTAATATGGGATCAGTTGCAATAAAACTCCATGCATCAAGCTGAATAAAGTATTAAAGTTTTCAATGTTGTCATCAAGAACATTAGTATAATCCATCACAGAATTTTAAACATCAATCTTGCATTGATAACATATTTGTAACCCTAATAAATAGGACACCTAGCCCAATTATTCTTTTCATTTCATAAAATGGAAGGACAACATAAGTGTTTTATATGTCATAAATGTTCAAACCTGCCCATAGGCTCAGTCAAAGCAATCATCTAAGTTTGTAAAAACAGGACGAGGATCTGTTTCAATCTAGCCACCATGCAGGGAGCGGGACAGCAATGGAGGTAAAAAGAATAATTTATCAAGTACTCAAGGATTATTTGGGACGAATGCCAGGAAGAAACCTTTTTTTCTGTCCAACCATCACAAATGTAAACTCGAAAATTCTTCAGGATTTTAAGAGGAACCATCTACCCGGGTTACTTAAGACTAAAACTGAGCCTTTTGGTCGGCAAAAGATAAGCCGAAAAAAGCATGAAATACTGAAAGAAGTAGCTTATGCTCTCTGTTAAGTACGGTAGAGAATGTGTGATGCTGCGGGTCCTCTTCTTTTCAGCAAAACCTAGCATAATTGTAAGTTTTCAAGTTTTGATAACAAACAAACGTAGGCCTGGATCATGAGAGGAACGACAAGATTAAATAATTCAAATAATAAGTCCAGTCAACTTAGACATTTTTCAGAGACACAAACCACCTTCCCACTTTTCAATGCATAACCACAGATCAGAGTCTATGATGGAGTGAGATGAGATTTTTAGATGGAATCAATAGGGCTGAATGCTCAACACTCCCTCTCTCAGTATACGTTAAATTGTTAAAATGTTAGCAGGAAGAACACCAAGTCGCGTCCTTTTCACACACATGCTTTTACAAGGATAAACAAAATTATTAATATTGTATAAACAACCCTTTTCAAAGAACATGTAATTGCCAGAGCTCCAAATCTCTGAGGAACCATCATGTTTCAGGCGACAGCTTCATACTTTCTGTCTGACGTTCTCCAAGACTTCCTCGAAGAAAAAAAAATGAAAAAAACATTTTAATCTCTTCTGTTCGGCTAAGTATGTCCCAGTGCAACTTTTTTCCCTCCAAATTAAACAGGAAATGTAATTTTTTAGTCTCTTCTTGCCTGGAACACATTTGATGAGGCTCAGCAATATTGCTTCAGTTACACTGGAGATTAATCAAGATGAATTATTATTCTCTGTCCAAGAGCCAGGCTTATAAAGAGGAATTCAACCAACTAGCAGAGTTTATTTAAAAAAATCCAACTTTTTTTTAAAGACATTTTTTCAAAGAAAGACCTTAAAAAGATATATATATATATATTTTTTTTTTATTATTCTTTTTTAAAATGCCTCCATCTCAACATTAAACTATCTGCTATGGGAAAAGAAAAGTGTGGAATGCTCAATAAAATGAGTAATGATACTGTACACAACAGCTCATGGTTACTGTGGTTATTGAGTAGAAATGTAATTGAATAACATGGAGGAGAAGTGGTCCACTGATTGAAAAGAGTCAGCTTATTAATATGGATATTAAATCTATGTTTAATATATTTAATAGTCTGCTTTTAGGGAAACTGCTTGGATGGAGAACATCTGACAACATCCTGCTGAATAGAACAGTCTTAAGAGTGCGCTGAGCTGGGATAATTTTTTAAACCCCACAAACTAAATTCCAATAGTAGATGTTTAAACCTGACAGATTGTTTTCTTGACAAAAAGATGCATTTTCTAAGTATGTGCAAAGAGACAGAGCTTCAAGTGGAGGAACCACACATGTCTGAGGAGCATCAGCAGCCAGACCACTGAAGCTGTTGGTTGTGTGAAAACTTTCAGTCCCTCAGGAAAGAAAACATGTTGTTTTAATATGATTTTTGCTTTCAATCTACCCTGAGTCCACATAACATACCTGATGATGTCCAGGGATGAGCAATTTGTGCCTGCCAACTGTCACTTCATTGTGTTTTCCTTCATAGATGACCAAAACCTAATTTTTCTAAGAGTCTGAGCCAAATGAATGAGAGAATGTTTGACTACAGCGGTGGTCTGATGTTACATCAGTGTGTTTCCCTCTCCCAATCAAATGTGGAGCACTAGCTTGACCCTGGCTTTCTCTAGTGGATAGTTGATTTTAAAAGCTGACATATGGTGCTCTACTGTCATAAATGATTTATTTTTCTATTGAAGCAGTTTACAGGTTACAAATTTCAAAGATTTTTAATGTCTGTGTGATTATAAAGTCATTTTCATTCATGTTACGATAGCATTTCTTTATCTTTTTCCACCTAGGTAAAAATAACCGGAAACTATTTCTTAAATAGATAAGCCTGACATATGCATAAAGCAGAATAGTCCACTTCCATTTAAAGCTGGTATACAACATAGGCATCCTATGCACCATCTTTCCTGTTCCAGTGCCAACATCACAGAATTAAGGTAAAGGCATATTTTCCTGTGTGAATCATCTACAGTAAAAGGCATTGAGGGATTTTTGGCAGATTCATGATGGGCTCCTAATTTAAAGCTTTAGGTTATTGCGCAGCTTTGCCATCCACTTCAATGCATTTTCTCTACATGATCACAACTGCAAGCTACTGGCATACATTCTAATCTATATAAACAGTAGCCCTGTTTGAAAAGTCTTATAATAATTAAAACAAGAGCTTCTGAACTGATTGGTTGGGGTCACCATTTGTTGTTAATGGATGGTTTCGTTTATATGTGTCTAACGGGTTAAATCTCTGACCAGTACCTACAATAAGATTCCTTTATATAAGTTCAAACAGATTTTTGGAACAAACAGATGCCACAACATGAGCATAGGACTAAAGGATAAGCACAGTAAAGCTTAGACACACAAAGGATCATGACATCAAAAGCCACAGAGGGCCAGTTGACACAGAAAAAGTCCGAGGGAATTCCTTTGAGGGGTTTAGATGAAAAAGTGCACATGTGAAGCAGGTGGGTTTGGTGGCAACTGGCTGGCGCTTGGCTCCATGAGAGTCTCAGGCCTGGATCGACCCCATGCAGCTGTCCCTGATAACATCACATACACCATGATGACGAAATCTTCTTGGAAGCCCTCGCAGGATGTCCTGGTAAAGTACTCTCCCAGCAAAGCTGGATTCACTTTAACTTTCCTGATGTTGATCACAATTCAAGATATTGGTTATTTAAAATGTGATTTTTCCTAATAGAATAGCAACAGGAGGGAAAAGCATCAAGTTCCATTTGATCTTTTGAGTCAAAAGCAATATATTCCAACAGTCAAAATTGTGTGATACAAAACTGTGACTGAATAGTTTTCAGGCATTTGTTCTTATTTGAAAAAGTTCAAATGTTTACATTTCCTTTTAATTTAAACCATTTTATTTTTAGCATCATGCTTTGCTGGACTTTATGTCAAGTTGATTCAACTTGATTAGCTTGTTTGGGGCCAGCTCTGCTTAGGTCTGACATAATTTGCAGCTTTTTAAAATATTTTCTTTCTACACTAGCATTTTTCCACCCGACTCCGACCTTCTAAAGAATGGCAGCTCCAAACCATAATGCTTCAACCAGTGTTCTCTGTTGGTATTAGTGTTTTCAGAATCATTTGCATGGTTTTCTGCCAGTGCAATTTTGCATGCAATTTTGTCTTTGACTTTTGCAGGCAATTGGATGCATTGGGTTTTATTAAGAAGCTGATTTATTGCTTGCTGAATAAAAAACACTTCTCACAATTTTCAGGCATCTATTTATAGAGGAATTTGTGAGGCAATGTAATCTTTTAGTGATGGTCTTTTTTTTAAAAAACACCACTTAAATACATTGAAGCTGGTAGTTGTGATGTGACAACATTAACAAAAAAAAATAAATAAACAACTATGCAACACACTGTAGCTGTTAAGCAAATTGTTTGCCAGCATTTGAAAGCTTATTCAAGAGAAAAATTGTACTTTACAACAGTCTTAATCGAATAAATAACACCTACTATTTAAATAAAATGTTTCTTAATGAATAAATCAGAGTTGCTATTGTAGGCCAGGCTAATGTATAGTTCCTAACAAATTATTATATTTTTTTCTTTTCTTTGGAAAAGAAAAAGTTAAATCATTAATTATTTAAAAGTATAACTGCATTCTGCATAATTTTTTGCTATTTTTTTTCTGATAAATAATGTTTCTTAAATGTAAAGTCCAATGTAGTGAATGTTCTTATCCATGAATTAATTTTATTTGCCTACTTATGCTGGTTTTACATAATAGGTTGTGTAAAACAATTTAAATGGTAAATGGCCAGAACCTTTTCCAAGTCAAGGACTCCAAAGTGTTAGGATTCCAGTCTGTGTGGCTTGTCTTGTAATTGTCTTCCTTCCTCCACCAGCCGGCGCCTGGTTTCACACCTGCGGAAGGTTTCCTCATTAATGAAGTGCTCTTAGGCT